TTCAGCTGGGTGAGTACAAAATACAATGTTGTCCAGAATTCAGGTATCTCGATAGCTTGATAACCACGGAACCGTTGCCTATGGGGCTTGCAAAAGACCCTTAAGTTCAAGAACCTCTCAAGAAAGGCAAAGCTCTTGATCTATAATACAATAGTAAGGCCGACTGTCACCTATGGGAGTGAATCATGGCCTTAACAGCAGGAAATAAGAGATTTTTGAAAGTCTAAGAAAGAAAAGTTCTTCGTCGAATATTCGGTACAGTGAAAGCGGGAGATGCCTGGCGAATCAGAAAAAATAAAGAGCTGCAGGATTTGTTTGGAGAAGGAGACATTGTCTCTTGCATCCAGCTGGGCCGATTAAGGTGGTTGGGACATATAGAGAGCATGGACTCAGGTAGAATCCCAAAAAAACTGTATCACGGGAAGTCAGGTGGTGGACGAAAGCGGGGGAGACCTCGACTACGATGGCTAGATGATGTCGAGGCAGACCTGAAGACTTTAGGTGTACACCACTGGAGAAGATATGTTACAGACAGAGCCGAATGGAGCAAGCTGTTGATGGAGGCCATGGTCCTATATGGACTGTACCACGGGCGGATCTAGGGGAGAGGGCTTTCGGGCTGAAGTCCCTCCCTCCAAAATGGTTAAATTTAACCATGTTTTATGGAAAAAAATATTTCAAAATTATCTCTTAAAGTATTATTATTCATGTAATCATATTTAAAAGGAGTTTAGGAATCACTTAAACACCATTTCATACAGGCAGTTAGTTTATTTCTTTTTTTCCAAAGTAATTATCGTTACCTTTATGAAAAAAAAAGCTTTCGGGCTGAAGCCCTCTCCCAAAATTAAATCTATGTGAGTGAGTGAGTGAGATGGTTATTAAAGGTTTTCTTGTTACGTTTTAATTCATTTTTCCGCATAAAGCTGTAAATAAATTCTATGATGTGAAGAAAATGCATTCATTAAAGTTCATATAAATTATATTTGATACAAAATATCGTAGAACGGTACATTATAGAATTAAATATAATAAAAAAACAAATCTGGTGCAGTGTGCGCTTCACACAACTTTCACTTACCAACCTTAGAGTCGATAGGTATTTTCTTATAGGAAGTTGAAGTGAAAAGAATAACGTCCTTTTCACTTCAACTTCATTTAAAACAATTAATTACCATGTTTTTCTCATAACTCCTTTCCTGGCCAGAACAAACCCACTTTTTAAAAATAGCACCATTTTATAAGGAGTATGTATTTTGTATTCTTAAATTCTTGTATGTATCTTATTCTTATGCCAAAAAACTTTGGTTATTTTATATTTGAAATATTTTTTTATCAAAAGATTTAACTGCTTTTTAATTAAAACAGACAAATTTTTGCCTTGGTCTGTATTCCCTATATCACTATATTCCCTTACTATATACATTACATACATAGGTAAGTATTACATATATAGAATTATATATATAGATATATATTACATTACATATATAGAAAGTAAAAACTCATGAGCATGACGGGGAAACGATATCAGTTTGTTACTTGTGCAGTCAAATTTCCAAATTTTAACTTTTGTTTTTTGGCGTCGCACAGTGGGAAGGACCACCAACCTAGGTGGAAAAACTCTTAACACCTGATATTTATTGTATGTATCTACCCAGTATAAAGGAAAAAGTACGGATATACAATGCATAAGAAACAACAATTAAGTAATATATGTGGAGAGTGTTTCAGGATTAAGTGGCCAAACTGAAAATATGAATTAAGAATCTCAAAACAAGAAAAAAATTCCCGTGACGGTATGTTCGCAAACGCTTTGTTTAGGAGATAGTCACAGCTAAAGATTTTCATTGTTATGAATTATTTATGTTATATTAAGTAAATAAAACTTATTTATTTGTTCCAACTACTTTATTAATTAAACGTGAACATTAAAGTCATATTAAATGTTGTTCAAAGTGATTTCCTAGAGCATTAAGACTGACTCGGCATCTTTCTTCAACAGCAGCAGTGGCAGAACGGTAATGGATGAGTGTTATTGTTTCACAAGATTCAATTACCCTTCTTCGTAAGGAGTTAAGGTCATTCACCGGACTTACATAGACTTTTTGTATAATGTCACCTAAAACAAAAAAATCCAGTGGTGTCAGGTTTGCACGCCAAGCCACTGATCATGCATGGTGAATCTATTGATAGGAATAATTAGCATTTAGCCATTGTCGTGGACCTCTTCCATAATGTGCAGGACAGCCATCTAATTGAAGCCATATGTCCCTTCTCAGTTACAATGGGATGTATATGTTCAACTAAATCATAGTAATCATAATTAAGAAATTCCAGAAATGTGCCCGCATTCAGTCTAGGCGTCAAGAAATGCGGACCTATTAAAAATTGTCTGTTATCCCCAACCACAAATGGCACTGAAAATGATGCTCACTTATTGCATGGAGATTTTCCTGCGACCAGGGACTTTTCTTATTGAAGATACCTCTCTAGTAAAGGTAGCTTCATCTGTCAAGAGAATTTTTCCTGAAAATTGCGGATTATGCTCAATTTGATTTAAGCACCAATCTGAAAAATTTCTTCTTGGACGAAAATCTTGCGTTAATAAATTTTGTACCCGTTGATAATGGTATGGGTGAATTCCATCTGCAATGAGAGTTCTCCATACTGTAGTTGTCGTAATATTTAATTCTGCTCCAGTTCTTCCTACACTGCCAGATGGGTTATCATCAAAATGCGCAATGGAAAATAACAGTTCAATAAATAATAGGCGTTGGAAAATAACAGTTTAATAAATAATAGGCGTGCAATCCATAATCGTTTATAAATTGAATACACAAACCTCTTTAGGTGTGTGTATGTATATATGTATATATATATATATATATATATATATATATATACACACACACACACACACACATAGTCAGCCACACTGAAGGTCATTGGTACTATGGCTATAGTATTCATTCACACAATATATACATACGAAAGGAAAATAAATAAAAATAAGTAAGTAAGAAGAGAAAGAAAAAAAAAGATATATATATATATAAAGATAAAGTAATATACAAGATAAGTAAAATAACAGATTAAAGCCGAACGATAATAAAATACATTCACACCTATGTACAATATTTACATTGGCCGAGGGGACTCTGAATCAAGCTTTGTCTCCAATATTGGAACTCAAAGCAGGACTCCAGAAGATCCCAGTACTTCTCTCCCAGCTGCCTCACTGGTATTGTAAGCCAGTGAAGGGCACTAGAGCAACGGAAGCTCAGGACAATTAGTCCATCTGTTTTTTTTTTTTTTCATTAGGTCTAAGACCGCTAAATAGATATATATATATAGCAATACTATATATAGATAGATATATATATAGCAATATATATAGATAGATATATATATATAGATATATATATATATATATATATATATATATATATATAGCAATATATATATCTATATATATAGCAATAGTCTAAGACCGCTAAATAGATATATATATATAGCAACGGAAGCTCAGGACAATTAGTCCATCTGTTTTTTTTTTTTTTCATTAGGTCTAAGACCGCTAAATAGATATATATCTGATTCTACTTTTGCCTGTTTGGTCTAAAAGCACTTAATTCTTTCTGCAGGATTAGTCTTAACCTGCTCTCTAAAATAGAAATATATACTAAGTAAAGCATGGGAGGAAGTCAGAAAAATAAGTCTGTAGTTGGGGTAATCACTTTGACATCTTTTCTTGGAGAATTCTTCCATGGTACTAAATCTTTACTAGAGTTCCTACAAAAACTTCTATATATATAGAACTTCTATATATCTATATATATAGCAATAGTCTAAGACCGCTAAATAGATATATATATATAGCAACGGAAGCTCAGGACAATTAGTCCATCTGTTTTTTTTTTTTTTTTTTATTAGGTCTAAGACCGCTAAATAGATATATATCTGAGTCTACTTTTGCCTGTTTGGTCTAAAAGCACTTAATTCTTTCTGCAGGATAGGCAGGATTAGTCTTAACCTGCTCTCTAAAATAGAAATATATACTTAGTAAAGCATGGGAGGAAGTCAGAAAAATAAGTCTGTAGTTGGGGTAATCACTTTGACATCTTTTCTTGGAGAATTCTTGAATGGTACTAAATCTTTACTAGAGGTCCTACAAAAACTTTCTATAGGTTACTGATATGATTCCTTTTCAAGGTGCTAGTTATTACAATCAACAAGGTCACTTCAGTTAATAAATTAGTCCACTTTAAACAATAAAGGGGGAAAGACTGCCAGGTATATCAATTAATTGAGAAGCATTTTATTTAATGCAAAAAAAATGTATTGACAAATTATGTTTTATTTTATTATATTAGCGAGATAATTAAATAAGGGAATTGTATACATTTCAAGAATTTTTTATATTGCTTCTTATATAACAAAAACTTGATAATTCATGGTCTATATGAACTTAATATGCAGCTCTTAAGGTATTCAAATATTTTCCATTATTTCAGAAACCTTAACAATAGTATCTGAAATTCACCTGCTTGTTCTGTGGATTCATGATATAAACCACTGAAAATTTCATCATGAGCAGTCATATAAATGACAAACTTAACAGGAAAAATACCTTGCCTTGAGTATAATTTTAAACATGGTTGTAGCCAGAATGATATAATATTGTTCTTAATTAACTACTGACTTACATATAGTGTTATATTACCATCATTGAATATTCTTATTATGTTACATTAAACCTCCCTCTCCACATTATTTCCAAACTGCCTGGTGCCTATGGTTGTAATAACAGTAAGTCAAGATGAATATAGGATAATACATGCATTAATTAAAAAGAACAAAATGGTTTTAATAAAAATATTTATTTTGATAAAATTGATTTATTGACTTTTATATGACTATGCCATAAAAAAATAAATCATAGCATAATAGTTTTAATTTGGTCAAGAAAGAAATGTTTGAGGAGAAATTCAATAATTAGAAATAAAATATACAATTTATTTACAATATAAATTACACAAGAGCACATCAATTGATTTCAACCTGTTCTTGAGTTGGTAGATAGCCCCTCCTTAATAATTCCTGAGGCTTTCTTCAATATAAATAAATAAAAATAGATGCATTTTAGTAACATTTATTATATGCATATAAATTCAAAGAAAAAATAAATAAATAATAGAATGTTGACGAGACAAATCTGGTAAAGAGCGAGATGATGATATGAAGACAGAAACACTGCACAATGAAACAATACCACAAAAACAACCTGGAAAAAAAATAGCGAATGTGATGATTTGTTGTTTTTCTTGTTATGTTTCTGCTATGTAAAGATATTCGCTCGCTGATTTCACTTTCTTCTAAATCTTCATTTCTGTGTTTATTTCATAACTTTTTTTTCGTCTTCCTATTCATTGACTAAGACGTAACGTAACCTCCCTTTGTAAATCAACTATTATTAGACCCCATCCTTTAACTGCAGATAATTCAACTTGGTCCTTGAAATCTGTTCTTCTATTAAATACATAAACGATACCAATAATCGATTGGAATAATGTACTGAGTTAAAAAAAAAACAAAAAATATTCTTAGCCTTTTTTTTTTTTACCGAGGATTTTTTGTTTTTCAGTAAAAAAATATAAAAGACTGGTTTAAAATCAATATAATCAGACTGCAGCCAAAATTGGTGTGCTTGACTTGCAGTCTACCATAGTCCTTGAGCTATCAGTAAAAATGAGTCCAAACTTATCAACAAACTCGAGGGTATCTCCTATCGATCCGAAAGCTAGTTCCTTCATCAGCAAATCGACAGGCACCGCTGGTCGATAACTAAACAATTAGGGATCTCCAATTAAATCACATCTCTCACTGATATATTAACAATTATAACTACACATTAAAGTAGAAAAATATCATCCCTTGGCCAGAACAAAACTTTTAAAATTTAAAAATAAAAACAATTACTAACTGTTTAAAACCAAATTCTTATGTATTCGAACCCAATGTTGTATATGCTATAATAACATTATTAAGAACTGCATCAATTGAGTGTTTTGTCTTCTAGCAGCTTAACTCAAACACTTGTAAGGTCTTCTTCTATTATATTTTAATGAACTTTCTTCTGAGGGTATATGAATGTGCAATGAGATTATATCTGCGTAGAGCTTCTACCAGTAGAACATCTTGTTTTACAGTACATATCAATAGAACATCATTAACTTTCGTGTTAATCAATTTAAAAGTAGAATATTTTCACAATTAGCAGTAAATATTTAAAATCTTCATCTTCATTAAATAGTATTTATTTGTATTCTGTGTCAGGAAACTACTTAATTTTATTTCAATTGGTAGTATAACATTAAATCATCTTCTTCCTCTTCTTGATACAAGTATTGTTTAATTGAGATTTCATTTCATGTAGACAAAATAAGCAACAGGATATTTCGAAATTCATACAAGGCAGATCAATAGCAACGACTACAGAATATAACCAACAAGACACCATAAGGAACAAAAGACACCAGTTGTCAAAAACGGTTTTTTAACAGTTAGTTTTTAAAATTGTACATATTTAGGAAAATTAATCGTGGCCAAGAAATGATAGAAATTAAAGAAACACATTTATAAAGATAAAAAAGAGGAAACAAACCAAAATATGTTCTTTTTATATCTTGTACAATGTTTGAGGCTTCCTATTGATACTTTATGGCTACTAGTGAAATAGGCTAATAGCGACTCTGTCGATCTATTGATCGTTTTAAACATTATATCCAAATTTCGATACGATCCATTTTACTATTTGACAAAATCAAGATGAGTACAGAACATTTACTAATAATCCATTAAATCTCTACTTCACTATTTGGTAGGTGAAGCGCAAAATATCTAAGATTCATATGTTATCCTCAAATTTTCCATAGAATAAAGTTGAAATGTGATTTGTATATGTAAGTAATAAATAGTGTAATGTTTTGAAGGATTATTACAAAATATTCTACTCCCATCTCAAATAATATATTAATTCACAACCTTTAAATAATTTATTGATCAAACAATTAAACAATTCGAAAGAGTGATGTCTAATAATTATTTTATTTTTTATCATACAACTAAAACATTTTTACATCTTAGGACACTTATATCAAACTAAAATTTGAATAAAATTATTGTAACAGTATAAAATAAAAAATGGGAGCCTCAAACATGCCATTCTCACCTTCAATGTTGAAAAGGTCAATCTCTTCTTTTCCTGAAACTCACATTATCAAGCACAAAGTAAAGTCTACAAGAAAACAATGGGGTAGTACTACCCCAGTGGTTTCGTTTCACCAATGCAATAACATCAAGTTGATTAACATGATACATATTTATGAATGTAATACACACCACTAGTTTGGAACAAAACTGGTGCAAGCCAAAAATTTAATTTTTTAAAAAGTCTGCTTAATGATAATAAACTTGTTTATTATGATAAAACAAAAGAGAAAAATGGTTAATTTGTCAGTTGAGCTAGTGTTCTTCTGAAGTAGCCAGACATAAATATGTACATACACATATATACAACCAAAAACACAAACTTTAAAAGTTGATTATCAAGTTGTGCCAGGCTTTTTCTAAACTAGTGGCATTAATATTACATATAGAACAGTGGCAGTCATAAAATAATGTATTAGTCAGCATCCTCGAGATTATTTTAATTCAATTAACTAGTCCTTTACAGTATTTAATTAAATTTATCTATAAACACAAAAATTTCATTTAATCAATTGAAAAATTCAGGTTCATAATGTAAACCCATTTTTAATATAAACTCGAAAGATAGATAAATCAAATATTAGATTAAAACAGGAAAAAAAAAACCCGAAGCCTTTAAAAATGAAAATAAAACCAACTAACCTTTCACAAATTAAGATATCAGAACAGAAAAACAGCTTAATTAGATCAGTTCATTTGTAATTGTAACTAAATATAATCTGTTGCTACCATTTTTATATGACTGCTGCTGACTAGGACAATAGAAAAAACCAAAAAAAAAACCAAAAAAAAAAACCTTTTCTTATCACACCCATAAAGCAATTCAATATATCATTTAGTCTAGATCTTAAGCCCTACAGAGTATTAATTAATCTATGGGATGAGTTGTAAAGATAAATAAAAGTTGTAAAGCTTAACTTTACCAAAATTAATTATAGTGAAATATGTATTAAACATACTACACGATTTTTGTCAAAACCTACATAGATTAATACAAAATTAAATGTGAATCATAAAAATTAAAAGTTTATTTTTAAATTTTAATTATATTTTTAATTGGTTTCCCATTATGGCCTATAATAATAATTGAATAAGAAAGGAGGGATGATTAATTTTTTGTTAACTACAAACAAGATAAAGTAGATAATAGAGCATGACTACTTTTTTTTTGGATTCTTATTACCATATGTGAACTCAGATGCTGTGAAAATTGCAAAAAAAACTTTTGGCAGCTCATAAAAAATGTTCGGCCTAGTAACACAGGATCTAATTACTTTTTCAGTAATTAAAAACTTTAAAATCAAAATTCTTGTTCGGCTTTCAAACCATTGCCCTGATGACTCACATGTTTGGATCGAAACATCAGCAAACTCAATAAACATATTTTTTTTTAATGCACAACAGGACCATTTTTCATCATTAAAACTACGGTATACTGATTAATACTAATAACAAAGAATTATTATTTTTTTTAAATTTTATAATTATTAACTATTTATGAATTAATATTAAATTAAAGATAAATATAGTTAATGTAATACTAAAAATGAATAATACAATGAAAAATCACTAAAAAATATTTGAACGACATCTTTTCCAATGAAATGTACCTAGAATTATATTTCAAGCTGAAATTCAGAACTTTTTAAATTAATTTTTCTAACTAAATATATCTTATTGTTTATAAAAAATATTTAATGATGTAAGTTATACTTGGAGAAAGTTACGTTTATAGAATACTTATAAATAATGCAAGGTTTAATGACCTATTATCAACGGCAGGATGAAAAACAGATAAAATAACTATTGTAAGGATTCTTAATGAGGAACACTAAAAGGACTAAAAAAAAGAGACAACTGCGATTAATCGTGAACATTATTTCAACGAAGTATATTTCAGAGTGACAAACAAAGTAATGTGGTAACAAATGCAATTGAATGGTAATTAGACAGAAAAATTGAGCTCATAATTAACCACTAAAAGGTTACCACTAGAAGGTTCACGGCAGCAGCGTTTTGTTAGAGCAAATGATTAGTTAACATCAATTTTTGATAAATATTATGTGTAGGAAGTCACAGATCTATTAAAAACACGACAAAAAGTTTATTATTTTCAGTGAAACTTCTTCATTGACTATATTTAAAATAGAGAGGAATCAAAAACTGAATCAGCTTAGAAATCTAACAGTTGTTACAATAATTTAAGAGGTGAAATAATGGATCATCATTTCCTACTCTAAATTCTTCGACCCTTATCAAATTTTTATCATCCTAAAACTGCCACAGTTCATAGCATACTAACAGTCCAACCTATTGGTACTCTACCAAAATTAAATGGACAAAAAAACCTCAATAAATATTTTTAGGAGTCAAAAACAAATGTCTCAAAAAATCTTTAAAATTAAAATGGCTGATAACTCTCGAAAATTCAAGATATATTTAAGGACAAAAAGAACTTAGGAATATACTATTTATCTTTCTAAAAATTGTAAAATGGAAATCAGAATTATTAAATGAGGGCAAAATATCTGATGCTAACATATAAAAATCATAATTTATAAATATTTCAATATACAAAGACTAAGCACAAGAGGCTATCTTACTCTCTTAAAACAAAAATTACTTACTAATCACAGCATTCTGACTAGACAACTAACCATATCAAACATATATACAAATTCACTACAAAAATTGATCACAGACATATTGACTAGATTTTGAAAAGTTCATCTTTGAAACAGATTTTCAAATATTAAAAAAAAATCAAAACAGAAACCATTTCTAAATATGTTTCTGTACATCAAATCTCATAAAATAAAATTGGCAATTTTTCAAAGATCTGCCTAATAGATTTTTAATAGTTAATTTTTCACTAACAACCTCCTGACAACTAAAGAAATAAACTATAGAACGATTTAATTGAATAGCTTGATTTTTTTTGTTTTAAAGTGGAATATTTTTTCAATTATTCTTAGTAATACTACTAATTAAAAAGTAAGATAAAAAGATAATGAAGAATAAAAATAGAATAGAAGGCTTAACAAACCACAACTCCATATTAAATCCAATCCAGTAACTATTAAGAAAAATAAATTATATTAAGAATCGCAGGTAAGTAAACTAAAAAAATTATAGAATTATCTCTAAATCAAATCAAAATAGTAACCCATTGCATATTCTAATTGTAAATTATAATACTTATAGGAATATATGGCTAGCATTTAGAGAATTTTGCATGTGAAGAATAGTTTATTTTTCAAATTTCGGCCCAATTATTATAATCATATAGTCATTATTATGGATCCCATATGTCAATAAAGATACTTAATGAAATAAACAATAATGTAAAAAAAAAAAAAAACATTTAAAATAAGATGTTATGCATCCCAAAAATTAGCAAAATAACTTTTTTTTTTAAATGAGTGGTCAGAATATGTACAAAAACTACCTAAATTTGGGGTATTTTACTAATCCTCCATCTGATCTAATGATATCTGATATCAAATACAATTATTGTTCTTATAATTATTGAAAAAATCAAGTTATAAGGCTTTTCTAAATACCAACCATATAATGATTATTAATTAAGTAGATAGTATAAAAATTAAAGTTGAACCAACTATTGATAAGCAGTTACCCTGTATGTTTAACAACATAAGAAGGTTAGTTAAGACTCACGCTTTAATAATGACTTTGAGAGCCTTCAACCTCTCCCTGGCTAAGAACCAATCGATGAGGTATGGTGACATACGAGGTGCCGTTAGGTAAAGTTTAAAAAGTTTAGAATGAAGACCACTCGTCCAGGCTTTTGCCATCTTCAGCCCATGGTTTATACAGTCATCAGCCTTGTCTTCTTCACGTAATGAATTAACTAATGTAGAGAGATCTAAAATTAAAAAAAAAAAAATTAAAGACCTCCAAACGAACAAGAATTACTGAACAATCATGATTAAAAGAACTAGATATTTTTCAATTCAATACTAAAACTATATTCGAACAGCAATATGATAAGCCACAAAGAAAATGTAAAATGTTACTTACCTAAAAATTCATTTGTAAAAATGTAATAAAGAATTCTGTAGGCAACAAATTCACCCCTATTTTTAGAACTTGGCGTGTGCAATTGGCATAATTGAGATTGGCATTGGTTGAATTCTGCATGATCACCTTTTTCAAGAGCAATACGAGCGTGAGTTTCATACACTTCAATAGTGAATTCGTCCCTGATACCTTGTACCTGAAAACAGTGCATCAATAATTACATAATGAATAAATATGTTTATAATTGAAATAAAGTAGCTGAAGATTTTTATACACATTTAATAGAAATATTAAGATATTAGGATTACTTACAGTAAGGTCTTGCCGAATAGACTTTAGCTGTTCACAGGTATAATGGTAGTCTGATTCCTTTGCCCACTTCTCTTTGACCAAAGACAATGCCTTGGCCAAAATCTAAAAGGAAATATTAAGACAGATTATTCAAATGTGAATGGATTGTGATTTTTGCAGGTGCTTAACAGTGGAAGGAAAAACTAATTAAAAAACCTACACTTCACAAACTTCAAAAGATTAAGCAGAGCCTGAAACTGGTATCCTAATAATTAATGACTATAGGGGGATGATTATGTTTACAAAGAATAGAACTAACCAAAGTATATATTTACTAAGGGGGTACCCATCTGTCCACTTAACGGCGAACCAAATCATACAACTGTTCATTTAATTGTACGACTCGTTGCTCAAATTAGTTAACTGTAATTTACATGTATTCTGTAGTTGATTGTATTATTTTTTATCACCATAAAATAAACTGAACGAAATCACAGTTCAGACAAATTCTTAATTTCTTTAAAAATCTATATTATACACATTGCGCCTTATTGCCAATTTATATTGTTATATAATCATAATAATTCTTTAGCCAATTTATAACCGTAATATATATTCAGCCTGTCAAGCTATAAGCTCAACATGAATTTCAGCCTTTCATTATTTTTCAATTCAATACTATTTCTAATATTTTCATTATTCATTATATAATATAATAATTAATATATTGCATTCAAGGAGAAAATGTCTAGATCGAAAAATAACCGATATCACTTATGTAAAATCAAATCATCACCTCCAGATAAATACAATTTTCCTTACAAATTTTTGGTCTAAAATCTTTATTTTGTATTAAGAAAGTTACAGAAGCTCATTACTGTAAAGAAGACACTAGGGTGTAAATATCTATTTTGTATTAGAAGAAGAGGTTGTAGGCGCTCAACACATATGTAATTAAATGAACAGCAGTATAATTAGTGCTAATTAAGGAGCTCCCGTAATCTCCTACTACTAAAATGAAATAACATGAAAGTCCTAAAAAGTATTTAATATAATAGAGAAAAAAATTGATTACGCCAAAATTGTATTCAATTCAAAACCGAAGAACTACAATAAATATAATATGATAGTATAGACCCTTTTTCTGGCTTTCAGAAGCGATGGGTTTCAAAGAGTGTGGTATCAAATGAAAGGGAATTTCAAGAAGTAACAAAGGTCAATTCTGAATCTTAAAATTACTGTAACATTGTCACAATTAAACTAAATGTTACCTGAGGTGGCCTGACTTGGGATGCATCCGGGGCAGACGTTAACCGGAGATATTGCTTTTCAATATCAGTAGATGTACCCACGATGTGAAGGTCCTCTTCCCAATCATGAATTCCACCACTGTTGCTTCCAGTAGCTCCACCGTTTGCACTGTTTACTACACTAGCAACATTTGGTATCATATACTGAGAATTAGGCTTCGAATCAATGACATATAAGGGGGGCGACGAACTCGAAGTATTAAGACCGTTCTTATTGCGATTGGTATTGTCACAAGAAAACCTAGCAGCTCTTTTGTCAAGAACTTCTTTCCTAATAGGGCCACCTACTCCTCCCCCAATACTTCCATATTCTTTGTACAAATGAGCCTTTTCGGATCTGGAAAATAGAAACATTAATTAAAAAAAATAAAATTAATATCAACAAATAAACTATACTAATTAGTGATAAAGAAATTTAACTAAAGAGATAAAAACAAAAGAAGGTTTACTAATAAGTAGTTTTAAGTTACCAGTAAATAACATTAATGGAACAACAGAACAATGGATTAGGTGTAAAATACTAATGTGAAGAAGATAACCTCAAACCTCCTCCATATTACAACCAAATATCTTTAGAAACTCCTCCCTATATATATATATATATATATATATATATATTTAATATTAATAAAACATGGAACATTGAAATGAGAAAATAGAAAAATGGTTGATATTATCACAAATTTGAATTCAGAAAACTTTCGGAATTTAAAAAAAAAAAAATGTAGGCATACTTTTAATACATTAAACTGTAGTAAGATACAATAAGGCTAATATTGATATTAATCTATGGATTTAATAATAAAAAAAATTGTTTTATCATTTAGGTATTACATAAATCTCAATTCCTCTTTTATGGAAATGTTTACGTTCAAATTGATATTGAAAATGTGATGTAAGGATTTCCAAATAGACATTTCAAGTTAATATAAAAGAATAGTATTTGTAGCAAACTGTGCAGGATAAACTTTTTTTCATAACACTTTTTTTCTTGAGATATTTTTCACTTATGAAAAAAAAAAAACCTTAATAATAGATAAAATAAAAAGGTTTATTTTATGAAAAGTCCAGATATGAACCCAATAGAGCAAGTTTGGAACATGCTTGGGAGATGTATCCTCATTCGAGACCCTTCAAAATTTGGTCGATTTAAAAAGAATTTTAGTGGAAGAGCGAAACATTCTAGAAGAAATTTGGTTGATGGGATGGAAAGGAGAGGCAGTGATCAGGGCTAGAAGGGAAAACACTCATTTTATTCAATAATCGATTTTTTTTTTTTTTTTTTTTTTTTACTAAATGATACTCAAAAAGAATGAATCATTTTAAAAGTGTCCATTAAAATTAAAATATTGAAGAGTTCCATTAATTTTATTCGGCATTGTTATTAGCTTAACACTATTCTGGAAAACTTACTTTTTAGAAGAATGCCTTTTATTGCTCCAAGACTGTGACGACCTTTTGTCCCTTGATGACCTCTTATTGTTAGAGCTGCTGTTATCATCGCTATCACTTGATGAAGAACTGCTACTATCACTGGAAAAAATAACAAAACTCATTGACTAAACTTAAAGATGTGAAGAAGATTCCTAAGGAAAATTAAGAGAATGCACAGCTTTATTTAGAATAGAAGTTCCTTGACTTTTAAGAAACTACGTACTACCTAAGATTTTATAGTAACTCGATGTACCTTCATTACTTAATGATACTATGGTATTGATATTAAATGTTGGTCTTCATAAAAAATTAAAACTTATTTTTAAAATATGGTTTAACAAACAAAATATTGCTTGTTTGTGTACCACAGATAAGGAATCTGACTTCGATGAACATGTTAAGAATGTCAACTAATTAGAAATAACTAGATTGTTAATATAACTAACAGTTTGCTTTATTAATGCTATCTACCTTGAATAATTTCTTTTGAATGACGGCCTGTAAGATGACCTCTTATGTGGTCTGTTAATACTAATCTCTTGGTTGCTTATTTGTTGTGGTTGATCTTGGTTCTTTTGAGGAGGTCCAAGTCGAGAAGACATTTTATTCAATTTATCTTTTAAATTCATTCCTAGTGTCAAACCACCAGCTGGTTTAGAATCGCTGTCCAGCCTGAAGAGGAAATAGAAAAAAAAGGGTATTAATAATAGGAAAAACAAATTAGATTTTAAACTATCAAAAATAATTTTTGTCATAAATGAAGAGATTAGTTTCAAAATAGGCTAAATCCATTTTTAAAAATTTGAACTCATATTTATATTGAGAATTTTTGAAAAATAAAGTATAAGCACTTTATGAAAAAGTGAATTGAGCTTATTTTGAAATAAATTGCCTCAAATATAAGTTAAGAATTCTCCTCACAACGGTAATGGCTCTTCGGTCCAGTTCTTGGTCCAAAGGGTACCATCGCTTGTGGCTCTAAGTATCTTTCCTTTCAGGATCACACCAACTCGATCCATATCGACTTGCAATACGCATTTCGCATAACACCTGTTGACATAATCCCTAAAACAATAATCAATTATTAATCATATGGTTCAAAAATATATTAACATCATAAATAACAGTCAAACCTCTACGCCTTAAACATTAATTGAAAATCTAAATAACGCTGAATAATTTTAACTATCTTGAATCTTGGATATGGTTGACCATATGAATATGAGGAAAAATAGGTGTGGGGTGGCTATCATAAAATAGTTTTCACTATCTCCAATTACTTCATGACTGCCACCCCGTGAGTCTTATCTTGAATTTTAACAAGACAAATCACTTTCTCTATATATCCAATAGAATTATCTCAAATAGAATCAATTTTCTAGCATTTAAAATTTAGATTATTTATGTGAATTTGAAATAATATAAGTAACTAGCTTCACTTTTTCTTTCCTAAAGAAAGACACGACAACAATAAGAAACAATTTATTTATTATATTGTTAAATCCACAGAAAGAATATGACATCTAAAAAATTGCAAAAAATAAAAAAAGAGGAATTCTATTTGTTTTTATTTTATTTAGAGGTTCCATTATGGAGGTAGAAATCATTAACAACGGTTATGTTATGGTAAATAACTGAATTTTAGAAATAATTGTAGATTTGCATAATCATTGATCAAGAAACAGCAGCCCTTACCAATAACTTAATCTAATTCTCATGATACTAGTTTATGTCATTCATAAATATACACAAAAACCTGCACTTAGGGATGACCACACACACATACATTAGTTAATGATGACCTGTAATATTTTATTTACTTAATTTTTGTTCCTCCAGTAACTCTTTTAAGTTCAATATGTAGAGGTTTGACAGATCAGAAAAAATATTTATCTTTTACCTTAAGGATGGAGGCCAATCATCAACATATCTAATGCCAGGAGGATGTTGGGTCATTAAAGCAACACCAACAGAAGCAGGCAAAGGCTGTTGCTGTGGTGGCGGGGGAGGACATGCGGGAGGTGGAGGAGGTGGTGGAGGAGGGGGTGGGCTGGCAGGCAAAGGAGGAGTTTCGGGCTCATCCTCATCCTCAGCCATCTGTTGCTGCAATTGTTGTTGAAGCTGAAGCTGCTGCTGCTGCTGTTGCTGTTGTTGTTGCTGCTGCTTTTTCTTCTTCTTGTTTTTTCTTTTGCTACTTGTAGTCTGCTGACCCGGCCGAACACCTAATGGATTGGCCTGAGACAATTGAGGTCTTGGCCTTTGAGCATTCATATTGAATCTAATCGGACCAACTCCACCACTGGCACCAACACCTCCACTTACTCCTATTGCAACTCCACCAGATATAGCATTAGTTGTGTTGATGGGGGGAGCTGTAAAAACAAAACAAATATTTATTCATAAATCTTGAAAGTATAAATAATTCATAATATTTGTCAGAAATTCATTGTTAATGTTTGTTGCTATATTTTATATTCTGGAATTATTATTAGCTAGTAGGGGCAGTTGACCAACTTCATTAAATTGAATATGTCAAGAACTAGACATATTATTAAAAAAATAAAACATTAACAAATATATATATATAATACTTACAATTAAAGACAACCTAAAACATTATAATAAAATAAAATTTTGTGTAAGAAATAATCAATACTAAGAAAAATCATTAATCCATAATTCAGTAATAATACAACAAAAATTTAATGAAGTGTAGTCAGCATCTGTTACTACACAGTTTAATTTATCCTGATGATATAAGTGTTTACCTAATTAATATCTTTGAAAATGGTATGTATTATCAACTAAAGGTAGTAATAAAACGTCTCAGAGTAGGCAATTAAAATTATAATTGTGGCATAAAATTTTATTCAATTTTAACATTTATAATCAAAACTTAAACTTAGTGTCCTGATCACGAGTTTTTTTTTCAATGTACGAGGTCTTCAACATATGTAAAAAACTATTCAAAATTTGTAAACCCAGAGTCTTCCTTCGATTTGTTATTTCCCAATTAATTCCATAAAACTGAAACCTCTCGATCTGTTAGATAATTGATCTTGAAAATTTATATTTTTCATGACACAGTTATTGACGTGAAGTAATTACTCCGTAACAGTATACGATAAGTGAAAATGTTACAATTAAATTTTACTTTATTAAAAAATTTAACAAATCTATTTTTTTGCAATAATCAGCATAGTTTTGTAAAAAAAATATATATTTTTCACAAAGGACAAAAAGATAAATCTCTCAATAGTTTATGTCTGAATTATTCATCATAAATATTGTATATTATAGTATAGAAAAGTAAAATCTATAGGATCAACTAGTATAAAGCAATTCCGATGGTAAAAATAATAAATTTAGTTTGATAAATTAGGATGATGGGAAATATTTCAAAAGAGATTTTATTTACCATTCTAGAAACTATTGTGCCTATAGCCAGGCACCTAAGAAATATAAAAAATATTACCAGTGCCATCTTGGATTCTATTAATGTCATTATTTGTTTCCCACTGAGAAGGTTCAAGAACAATGCAATTACTATTTCCAGAAGGATAATCGGATTTGTTGTAACTATGACCGTCCATACACAGTCGATTATTGAAAAATCTTGATGGCGAATAAGATTCATTGTTCCCATCTAAAGCAAATTTAAAAGTTATAAAGAAAGTTCAGCTTTACAACATTTGAAGTAGGAGCTAAATTTCAAATAGTCTAATGATTTCAGTAAGATGATGCTTTCTGAATTTTACACTCAAAATACATTATCAAAATACAAGTATTCATCATTTAGAGCAGAATTAGATGAATGCCAAAGAGACTAAACGTCGTATTTTCCTTGCCACAGTGAAAACATTTGCAATTAAAATAAAATATAAGCTAAGAAAATGGGTCATATATTTTATCCTGAGTAACTTAATTTAATGGCGAGAAATAGTTGCTCCCAAATATTTTGCTACGGAACTTGTAAAAAAAGTTCTAATTTTATGAATAAATGAGAAAACACTAACACATATTTTATGACTCAATGCTAAATTTTTATTGTATATATTTTATTAAGCCTAATTTCAGCTTAAAAGTATACAGTTAACATGTAAAATTAGGAGTTATACTGAGGTAATTTTTTGTATTACAAAGTTTCTGAAAGATGATAAAAACAGGATAATTACATAGAATTATTCATTATGAAAAAGAATGAGGCTAAATATTAACCTGCCAATATTAACCTTTGGGTTCGATATCGACATCACTAAGCGTTTATTATTATCCTCCCTCCACCGGTCGCCGTCCAACCCAGTCCGTCCCTTCAGATCGGCCTTAACACTATCTTCCCACCTTCACTTTGGTCTACCCCTGGAACGTTTACCAGTTGGAACAGCAAATATTAACCTTTTCGGCATTCTTTCATTTTTAAGTCCAACAATTTAATTTAATTTGCATTCATTTAATTACCTAAATTATATTAACCGGATACAGTTTACGCAATTCAGCATTGTGTAACCGTCTAAACTCTGTTGTTAGCTCATCCTTCTTCGGTCCGAATATTCTATGCAATATTATAATATATCTCTTATATTTTAAGGTAGTAATAATCCTCGTGGAAGATCACTTTTTACAATTAGGATACTTCCAAAACAAATAAGAAGTTATTAAATAATAAACAAAATTATAAGAGTATTAATTCAATAAACTAAACTTTATAATTATTTTATCTCAGGTATGGGTTACTGACAATCAGATCAAAACACTCAGACTAACAAGAATTAATTTAACTAAACACTGTTTGATTTTAAAATAGTCAAATATGGATTGGCAAGCTAACCTATTTCTATAGATACAGAGTTTTCCTTTGTTGCTCTAAATTCATTTGTCTTCAAATGCTTTCTAATCTTCTGCCAAAAACAACTTCCAAAATGGTGACACTTTCTTCTACTCGACTCAAGTCCTCTGGGATATTCTCTTTCTTGTAATTCCAAACAACTAGTCTCTCTGCCAAACAACAACTTCCATGATGGTAATACTATTACTGGGTTTCACCCACTGGAGCCAGGATCCCTTCTATCCTCTCTTCACTGCAGCCACACAACTGCTTGCCAAAACAAAATCTTTTTTTCCCTCCCCTCTTCGGGGTTTTCCTTTTTTGGAAAACTACAGAGAAGCTATTTTCTTTGCCCTGAACTAGATTAGCTTGCCTTTTAACTGTTATATTAATTTATTAAACTATTTTTAAAACTTCCAATATATTACAATATATTATATTAAGTAAAGTTTGTTTATCCTGCTGTCTATATATCGCCACCAAAATGTGATTTTAAACATTAAAAATGTTCTACAGACTACGAGAGTCAATCCAGTTACATTAAATGTTCTGTACGTACTTTGAGGTTGATAAACCTGATTTAAAGTATCAATTCTCAATGTTAAATTTAATAATCCATCATACCAACTGTTAATTAATGGCTTACACTAATAAATAAAACAATTATAAAAATCCACAAATATTTGCAAACTCAAGCGAAGAAAACGATTATGTAAGTCAGATTAGGATGATGGAATTTTTTTAAATGTATATTTACAACGTATCATTAACTTATTTTTTTAGTTGTTACAGCCCGATAGAGGGAGAAAAATTACCAGAGTTATCTTCAATTCTAGAAATGACATTAATTGTTTTCCACTGAGAAGATTCAAGAACAATACAATTATTATTTCCAGGAGGATAATCTGGCTTGTTGTAACTATGATCCTCCATATGTTGTCTACTATCAAAATATCTTGATGGGGAATAAGATTCCTTTTTCTCATCTAAAGCAAACATGAACCGTTAAAAAAGAGGTTTATGCTTGTAAGATATGTTTAAAGTAGGTGCTAAGAAGGCAGTAAAGTTTATTAATTAAATCTGGCCTTTGAGAAAATTGGAAATTTAAGGTTCAAAACCTTCGAATTTGTAGTAATAAAGGAAACTCGTATCAAATAAGATAAAATATCTATGGTATCACCCTGTTAAAAAATAAAATAAAAGAGAGACAGGTAATATTTTTCTAAAAACCTAATTGTTATATCATCTAACCTCAAGGGAGCTACAAAATGTAGTGAATAGATAAAAAATTTTAAATTATCGATTAATTATTAACAGTAAAATTTGGAATATAAGCTCTTCATCGAGGTCAAGTTGTCATACATTGTTTTCGCACAGAGGAGGAGGCACAAAGACCAGGAAAACTGACACAACTGGTAAGGACGACCATGAGAAATCAAAATGTCCAATCCATGTTTGAGTTAAAGCTTTCTTTCTGCAGCGTTCAAAAACTGTAGCTGAGTAAGAAAATGAGATGCCCTTGATTGCTTTCTAACCAATATGGCATCAGAAATGCCTGCTCAAAATTAAAAAATCCAGACACAGGCACGATCTTCCGCAGGATAATATGGTCTCTGTAGTACAGACCCCTTTTTAACAAATCATGAACATCCATCTAAATCTACTCAAATAAAAAAATCTTAACATAACCACACTTTTTTTTATCTTAAAAATTTTTTCAGAAACGGGATGGGGTGATTTTTAATTAATTTGATTAATCTAAAGTGATACTAATAACTAAAATTACCTAATATTTTCAAGATCGCATTTTATCTCGATTTTGTGATCAAATTACCTTACAATTCAAGCGGAAAGCAAATGGGTTTTCGTGAGTTTTTAGCACCTCATTGGATAGACAAAGTTTACCAAACTCCAGATTAAAAATTTCCCATTTTTAAGGATTTCCATAAATAAAAAAGTAGATTACGATAACATGATGCCATTTACAAAATTTTAGAGGGATGTTAATAATTTGATAAAAAGACTACACCACGGGCTAATATAGCTGCTAGAATACACCAATGACATTGAAAGAGAAATTCACTTGTTTTGAGTTCTTCAGCCTCTAAGATATATAGTCTTACAGCTAATAAATGAACTAAATATATGTAAGCCTGTGGTGAAGATCAAGTCACATTCCTGGACATCAGACCCAATAAATCTCTGAGAGTGGGAACTATTGTGTACCTAATCTCCGAGGTAAATTCCCAGAATGATATATCACAGGATGTCAGAAGGCAGTTCAATGTTTCCAATAGATGTATCCACAATCTGTCCAAGCATTTTTTCGAGAGCAAGAATCTTTCCTTCCCAAAAATCAATTTCAACAAAACCCTGATACAACCATTGCTCACTTACGGAGCAGAAGTATGAACAACCAACAAATCAAATGGGATACTGATATTTCAGAGTTAGGGACAAAGATTCGCTAGCTGGTTGTTACATTAACAATGTATGTATATACTAATCTTTTAAAAAAAATACTTACGAGTATACTGATGAAATGGTGGCCTTGGTGGGGGTGCCTGAGTTCCTGGCGGTGCAGGGGTGCCAGGCGGTGGACCAGGTGGAAGTGGTGGCAGCTCATTATTTTGCTCATTCTGAAAAATATAATTTTTTCTTATTTATTTGTTGAAATAGCTGGCATATGAATTGCATAAAACTAGAACAGACAAAATTATTAAAATAAACAAAACCTAAACTAAATAATTTAAAATCAGTCAGAAAAAAATTAAATTTATGTTATAAAAACAAAACCAGGTAAACATTAAGAACAAAATTCTAAAGCTATTCTAGTATAGGATCCTGAAAATATAAGTGAGCATACAATATTATTCTATAATTGACTTCAATTTTGCACCTGAATAGTGCGCACAGCATAATAGAAGTCTAATTCAAATTTTATAATTATTGTTTATTACAATTGTAAGGAAAGATATCAAAATGAACATCTGTAATTTATGTTCCAACAGTATATTTCAGACACCAAAGAATTAAATTTAAAAAACAAAATAGAAAAAGTTAATTTATGTATTAAGTTTTAAATTATTACAAAATCGTAACTTAAAGAAATAACTCCACATTGTAAATTGAACAGTTAATTAATACTAACTAAATGAACATTATTTCTCATACTCACAGGTTCATTCAAGAGCCATGGGCTTGAACAAAAACTTGAATTTCGAAAATCATGCATTTGATAGTCCTGTTGAAGTCAATATGAAAATGAGTAATCTTAAGGAACTGCCATTTAATCTTGTGTAAACCATAAAACTTTAAAAAATAAAAGTAATGGGGAATAAAAATCCGATAACTTTTAAGCCACTAATTAATTCAACAAACTAGTTTCATTATTGATACAGGACTAACCAAACTTATCGGAAATATTTATTTAAATTAAGTTCATATTATCACAATAAAAAATATAACACAATTTACTTAAAGACTGCTGCACGTTCCTAAAGTATAACTAGAATATATAAAACCTACCAACCATATATTCCCAAGATAAGGAGAAAGAGAAAAATATAAATTAGGTTGGGTCATAAATAATGTAAATAAATGATTTAAGTATATTAAATTTAAATGGCAATTATCTGTCCTAAGAGTAAACTTTGTATTAGAGACGATTTCTATGAAGGATTTTGCCGAATGCTATTTTTCTTCTATATTAACAGATCTATAAAAACTGAACCACAACATTCTTGTTCGCTTGGATCAAACCAAATACAATGTTCTATCAATCTATTATGGCATGGTATTATTATGACTTATTAAGAGCAGATAATAAAACTTACATAGAACATAATTCATTTAAAAATCTGACTTCACAAAGATGTAACATAGACTGTTATTTGGCAGAACCATTAATTTAATTAATGATTGAAACTTTAGACCACCACTGAATACAAATAATTACCAAGAGCATAACAATAATTATAAAAATTTTACTTATACAAAAGATTGAAATAACAAGAATAGTTCATCTTAGATCCAAAAAGACTTTAACCTGATTGTTGGTAGTGTTAGTTGCCAAAGCCATGATTTCTTCAGCTGGTTGCTGCTGCTGCTGCTGCTGTTGTTGCTGCTGCTGCTGCTCAGCTGGTATTTGTGGCTGTTGATCAAGACCAGGGGGTAACTGCTGCTGTGGTTGAGGTTGTGGTGGCATACCCCAAGGCCTCAGTTGTGTACCGGGAGGATACCCTTGATAATTTCCCCAATTGGGCATTCGCTGCTGTAAAATTAATAGAAATAATTAATAAACAAACAAGCAAGGCAAATATAATAGGTTAAAGTAGGGGTCCCACCCAACCTAGAGCTCGCAGGCACCAGTTTGCCCACCAATGTCTAACATAACCTTTGCTGGCGATCACCCTCCGTAACGATAAGTTTTCAATAAAATAACAATATATATTTTAATAAATCTATAATAATTTAATATCATGACATATTCCGTTTTTGTTTTTTTCATCATCATTATTGCTTTACGTGGCAGTGGCAGATAGATGAGTTTTCAATGTCATGTTTTACAACTTTTTTCTTAAATGTGATTTTTCATTTATACAATGACAGGCAAAAAATTCCACCCACTTGATTTTTTCATGTTTTCATCTACAAATATTTCTGCTTTGGATTGGTCTATTGTTTTTAATGAATAAATAGGTAATCTTTTTGTTTGTTTTCAATTAGGAATGTTAATATAGAGGACAATAACCCTTAATTCTTAATTCAATGAAATGATTCTAGATTCCAATGTTTACTTTCTATGGAATCAAAATGTTTATTCAGTATCATTAGTTCAGTACCGTTTCTTGCAGCACATTTCTTAGTCTCCGGCTTTTAATTTTTTCAATATTAAGTTTAAAAATGCCTCTTAGTGCTGAGGATGTTGTGCGTGGTGTGGCACTTATTGATGATGAACATTCCATTAGATATGCAGCTAATGCCATCGGAGTTCATATGAAACTTTATGAGACGCCATCAGGCGTTTTCGGAAAACTGGTTCTTGCAATAGAATTTTACGAAACCGGCACCTTACCGTTGTTCAAGCGATTCATCAGCTCGAAGAAGTTCGAGGTGTGCAAATTTCTCAGAGAAGATTAAATTTAAATGATTATGGATTAATGGCTTTTCGTCCAGTAAGAGGACCAGAGTTTACCAGAACTCACAGAGTAACACGGCTGGCTTTTGCTCGAGAACACAGCCATTGGACTATGGACGAATGGAGTGCTGTCCTTTTTACAGATGAGTAAAGATTCGCTCTTCGATCTCCACACGGGTGTCTTCAAGGCGAGGCGTCTTCAAGAAGTAGTGAAGGCAAGAGGAGGAAATACGCGCTACTAAACGATGATGTAATTAATTTCTTTTAGAATAATAATGGTTCCTTTTTCAATTTTTTTTCTCTTATCTTTCTTACCCAATCACATTTTGATTACTAAAGGTAAATAGATTGTAAAATTCCATAAATACTAAGTATTATCTACAAATACCATGTATTATATACAAATACAACTTTTTTTACAAGTGGGTAGAATTTTTATCGACTTTAACCAATGCAGCAGTAAATAACAATGTTGCTCCAAGGGATGGGGCTCCAAGGTTTTAACAAATAATAAAATAATTATTACTTGGAATTGATTGATCTTGGAGCAAGTGCTGTGGTAGAAAAATATTCCTTTTTGTTATTATTATGGCTGTGAGCAGAACAAATAATAGGGGTTAATTATTTTCAATAATCAACCTTTGTAATCAACCAAGAAAAAAAAAATAATCAACCTTTGTAATCAACCACGAAAAAAAAAAAAGTTAACGTCACTAAAAATTTGAAGTTTTACATTTCAAGATACGTAGAATCCGAATATTGAATAAAAAAAATATATTCGTCTGCAGTTTTTCTCCGAGACTACTATACTGATTTTTGTGACAACCGGTATCAATGTTAAGGGGAACCTGGGAATGAGGGACGAAAAACCTAATAAAACGAAAAAGTGTCACTATAGATGGTAGCACCTAAACTAATGTACCGATTTCAATGAAACTTGACTAAATTTTTTCCCTCTTAGTCCTTTAATTTTATGTATAAAACGTACTTCATCAAAAAGTACTTTCTTATCAAAATGGCAGCCCAACAAATTTTTTGATGGCATAAGCCAAACATTTTTTGATGGCATAAGCAAAAAAAAAAATGTACCAATTTCAATGAAACTTGGCTTAAGTCCCTCTTCCAATTTATCTATTTAACATACTTCACCAAAAAGAAGCTGGAAAAGTTACAAGGGGTGGTAAAATTAGATTTCAGGATAACTCAAAAAGTATACACTTTTTAAGTGATTGTTGTGGTCATTTAAATGGTTACAGAATTTCCAAAAAATCAAAAAGAAATCAGGACTATTTGGTGCAATGATATGTTGTTCTGAATATTTTTCACAAGTTCTACTGCAATACTGATATACCTATTTAGTTTTGTTTTTTGGAAAGTCTTAAATCTCCTGAAACAATCAAAATTGTGATCTATATTTCTTGGTAAATTACTAATGATAAAACAGTTTTTTTAGGTCTTGATCAGGAATCACTTTTAATTCTTTTTCTTCCATCAAAAGAAAAGTGTTGTTACATATGATGTGTAAGTTTTTGGAATAATAAACCATTGTTAATAACTTGCAGGGTTTTTGTTTTATGGAAGTTGATGTAAAAATTCGAAAAGTGTCAGTCAAAAATACAAATTTAGCAATAATTGATAGTTTTCCCGATTTAACACTATGGCTGTATAAAAGTTTAGTATTGATTTAAAAGTGAATTAAGGTACTGATTTAAAAGTGAATTAAGGTACTGTAGTAAAGGTTAGCAGTGTCACACTGGGTCAAGATTACATGATCGCATTACTCTTCTAGTAATATCAAAGCTACCCAAGAGTATCCAACAGCATAGGGAGACTACTTAGGTACTTTTTGTCTAGTGGGCCGCTACTGACTGCTATCTGCCAATGTTTATAACCTGAACACTGATAACTCCCATAAGGCAGTGATAAGCCTTCTCCTACTTCATATCTTCGTATTATTGTATTAAATTCGTATCATTGAAAGTGTACACAGATGTAACTAAACAATGCAATAATTCAAAGGTTTGGCGGGATAAGAGGGAGGTTATGTAATGTGAAGATAGATAAGAAGTGAGATTTCAGTCTGGCCCGCTAGACAAAAAGTACCACTACTTATCTCCAAACATTCCTAGTAATCTATAACTGGGTGAACCAATACCAATAAGAGGGAGATGTAAAAATTAATATCCTAAATGCTTGTTTATTCAGTATTATTCCTTTAGTTGAATATGTATGATATGTAACATAACTTGACCAGTCATTAAAGTCATCATCAGCTAGTTTCGACATTCCAAGAACAATATGAAACATGTAGTTAATTTAAGTATTTACTAAATAGTCTTGATATCTTTTTAAAAGTAGAAACTACATCTTTAACTATGCACTAGTTGGAAAGTTTAAAGATTTGATAAGTAATATAAGTAGTATCAAGTTAAAAAACAGTCTCACTTTCCTTAACACAGAATGTATATACAATATAAAACTTGGAAAATTTTTATCTTATCCCATACACCTTAAATTGAATGAATATTAAACTCACTAAAGATTTTAATAAAACACATTCAATTTATACTTATAACCATTAATTTGTTGCAAACTTTAAAAACCTTATCAAAATTTAAGGATAGATAAACTCGTAATTTTATAGTTACTACGGCACCTATATCACTCATAAACTACTTTGTAACAAATTAAACTTCTGCTTTAAGATCAATTTCATGACATAAAAAAAAAAAAACGGGTTGTTATAAATAACACTTTGAAACACAAAACATTTAAGGAAAGGAGAGAATTACAGAAGTATAACCCCAAATCAAGAGTTAATTAACAATAACCAAAATAATAAAACAAAATTGATCAGTTTAGTGACTTCTAAACAATATAAACAAACTAAATAAGCTAAAAATAAGTATTTTTGGAATCTAGGAACAGCCAACAAACTATTTATAAAGGACCAATTTACTATACATAATTGATCTCAAATATATAATGTAAATTATATTAAAGCAAATACACCTAACGCTATAAAACAATTATAAAAATTAATAAACAATTTAAAACCAATATAAACTTACTCCATAATATTGGTAGTAGTTATGGGCTCCATAGGCAGCAGGATTGTACCTGAGAAAGAAATAAAATACATCAGATCCACTAATTATAGGTGAGACATTTAACATAGTTTACTTCAATGGACTCACATATATGGGTTTTGATACATGTTCATATTGTACATATTCATGTTGTAATGCCAGGCTTGGGGAACCTGTTGGGGGGTTGGAGCTGCAGCAGGACTTTTGTCCGCCATTAGTGACATTTGGTTTCTGAAATATAACACAGTATAACTTACTAAAACACATAACTAATATAAAATTGAAGTTAATTTGGTAAAATGATAGACTCAAAAGTCAGAAGTGAATAAGTAATAACATACACCAATGATAAGTCACCACATAAACACAAATGCATACAGCCAGCAAATTAACCATTGTAAAATTGTTTAAAAACTTACATGTACGTGTATTTAAAAGCTCTGACAGGGTATTAGCAAATATAAAACAATGCTACCTAAATTAGGTAAGTCAATAACTAGAACATAAAATAAATAGTCACACCTTATATGACCGACTTACTTTCGATCTAGCGTAATCTTTACTGAGCGTTGCAATCTTACCAATCTAAACAACTCAGCTGTTTAAACTACTTAAATTTTATAGTAAATTTTTAGTTATTAATTCATTATAAAATAGTTTTTTTGTAATTAATGTTCATAAAATAATGATTATATCGATTTTCATACATTTAGTAAATGGAATTTTAAATTTATGTAAATGGAAGGGGCGGGTAACTTACCTTCTAAGTTCATTATGTCTTTTAATTTGATAATTTTCATCATATCCGTAATCCATTACGTTAAGCCTAATAACTTTGATTTATTAGTATATGTAAATAATATTTATAGTCATTGACATAAACTAAAGAACACATTGTAATTAAATAAGTAATATCCAAGTCAGAAAAATAAACAAAACATATGCCACTAATAATCAATTCTTTATTTTTATGCATAAATAAAATATTTATTTGTGACATTATTTTAATGCATCAAATCTGTACCTTAGAAAAAAACGACCAATGTTCAAAACTTTGAAATTTGAGTCAATTGCACTAAAAAAAAAATCCGAATAAGGTATAAATAATTGTTAAAATTGGTCCTCCCTCAACTATCTATTGAAACTAAGAATATAAGCATATTGGCCCTTTTAACAATTTATAAATAGGACAAGTTCCTATTAACCTAGTGCTGAGTTCATGGTTGGGTTCGTTTTCCCATAGTTTTCTTAGAGGTGGATCCTCTCTCTGAGTTTAGAAACTTGCCCTGACCTAACAAATACTCTAACCTGATTTCTTTCGTGTAGTTCACTGAAATTATAAAGTTTTGGACATTGATCCTACTTGTACTATGGTACAAGTCGTACATTATATACATAATATATTTCCTGATTATTTTCACATTTTATTGAAGTTTTTAATAACTATGTTTTGTTAAAAAATTAATGATGTTTAAAAAAAATACACTAACAGATCACTTTTTGATAGGATGAAAAGGATTCTTTTATGAAGGGACCACTAGCGGATCCAGGATTTAATTTTGGGGGGAGCTTCAGCACGAAACCTTTTTTTTTTCATAAAAATAACGATAATTACTTTGGAAAAACAGAAAGAAACTAACTACCTATATGAAATGGTGTTTAAGTTATTCCTTAAGTACTTTTAAACGTAATTACACGAACAATAATACTTTAAGAGGTATTTTTAAAAAAAATTTCCCATAAAACATGGGAAATATTTTTCATTTTGGTGGGGGGGGGCTTCAGCCCGAAAGCCCCCCCCCGTAGATCCGCCCGTGGAAGGGATGAATCATCTACTATGAGTGACTATTAAAATTCAAGTACGAAATCTCAAGAGGGAAAATATTGCGTAGGGGGGTGGGTACATTTTGAGCGCGGGACATGCGCGCTGTTGCTCATAAACGAAGCTCAGTTGTGGCTGTCTTGTTTCGGTGCATGTTTCAAGTTAATGCCTCTCGGGTAATAAATTTTCTTGTAGTTGTTTATTAATCGAGATTGTAGGGGAGTATTTTAGAGGTAATCTTCATCTATAAATCCCGGAACTATCTGTTGCGGAAAAGGTAAATGGATGATCATAATAAGTAATTTTTAAGTTTGTCCTGAACAATAACATTTGAGTAACAGGTAGTTGTTATATTCTTGAATATTTTATTGCCTGATATTAAGAATGGATATACAAATCAAGACAAAATAGTTCAGTTCATGTTTCATAAAATGCTTCATTTAGTTAATAATGGAATTTCCGAATAGTATTTATAATTCACACTTATTGAAATAAATTATTATTTTTCTAAATTTCATTAAAATGACGGCGAACTGCTTTTTATATTAATCAATAATTTACTATTTATGTATGTACTAGAATTTATTTAAATAGTAACACATGCTAAAAGTTTATGTCCAAAACAACATTTACACTTATTTATCAAGAAATTTCCAATATTTGAACACCATAACTTGGTTTGTTGAAGTAAACAATACTTTTCTACCGATTACAGATTTAGGCATTTGATTTTTCACGTGTATTTTTTATTTTTATTTAATTCATCGAAACTGGAACTTGGTCCACTAGCGGATACAGGATTTAATTATTTTTTTTTTGGAGGGGGGGGAGCTTCAGCACGAAAGTTTCATTTTTTCATATATATATATATAATCGTATATATATATATATATATAAAGAAGTAATAATCGTTATATATATATATATATATATATATATATATATATATATATATATATATATATATATATATAACGATTATTACTTCGGAAAAAGAAAATGATTCTTGAAGTCCTCTCAAATGTAATTACACCAACAATATTAATTTAAGAGATAATTTTTTAATATCTTTTTTCTTAAATTATGGTTACATTTTACCATTTTGGGGAGGGGGCTTCAGCCCGATAGTTCTCGTAGATCCGCCTGTGAATTGGTCCAATCTCTCAAATCTTTACATTTACGATAATTTTTTTTCAGCATTTTTATTATTTATTTATTTCTGATACTATTTCAGAATAATAACGTACACATTTTTCGGCATAATGTTCTGTAATAATTTAAGTCGAAGTTAAGAGGAAAAGTTAACCCTCTTATTCTGGCAATATCTCCCAAATGAAATTAGATTTACGCTGAGCTCATCCTATCCGGTTTGAGTATCTTCTTCAAATTATTTTGAAATATCCCACTCACAAATTTTTATTATTTCATTTTTTTTCTGAACCTCCATAATTTTATTTTTTAACTATTACATATATATATATATATATATATATATATATATATATATATATATATATATATATATATATATATATATATATATACAAGCTTTTATGTATAAACTTGTGAATATATTTCAGTAGCAGATTAGAATTAGACCATTACCAGTTTATCGGGATTCGGGCTTTGAAATGATTTAACATTGGTTCCACTTTCTCAACGATTTTTATCTAATCCCTAGTCTATAAAGAACATTTTTAATGTAACTCCAGCGATTGTTTATCATCTTGCTATTTTAAAATAATGAAATCGTGTTGAATTAAATTAAACATAGGTAAATATAACGAATAATTTTCAATAATTTATTTTTCTTTTCATTAAATTTGTTTAATTTAAATATAATATGTATTTTGTTTTACTTAACTCACAAAGGGCTTAGAATAATGAAGTGTTACTAATCGGTTTTAGATTATAAATATACACATTATTTTAATTATTATACCATATAACCTCCATTTAACCTTGGCTATATTAAATGTTATTATAGATATTTAGCCGAAAAGTGTAAAGCTAGAAACTCTTTCGAGTAAAATTAATATATAAAATTAATAAATTAATATTAATATGTAAAAAAATTAATATATTTTTATTTTTTTTATTTATTTGACCGCACCCTCGACTAACTCCTCATATTATATCAACGGTCAACCATCTCTACATCATTAAAAATTCTTTCTTTAAAAAAGTTCTTACTGTCTTATTCCTTGAAATGACGTTCGAAGAATGTCCCTTAATTTTAAGTCTTTAATATGAATTTCAGTTACCTCAGTAATAATAGCACAAAAAAGTGTGGGAATTTTGTTTTGTATGTTGTCCCTCGTTAAAACATTAAAGTTTTCGACTTTCCAACTCTTTCGAATTTTTTGCCAAATTGAAAAAAACAAAACAAAGATAAAGTCCTTTTTTCGTTTTTTTTTTCTCGATGGTTTTTAAAATAAAATATGTTATTACCACTATTAAAGAACATGTTTTCGGCATCTTTTGTAGGTAATATGAGAAATTTAGAACAGCTACCGGAATCACGGTGTCGTCAACATACACAAAAATTACAAAATAAAAAAATCAGTGGTTTCACTCTTAGAACTATTTTTACTAAGTAAGTTTACTTAATGCATAATAACCAATCTTGTAGAGGATTGAATTTCATGCAAGATTCATACACAATATTTTTATTACAATTATAATGTTATTATCTCAACAGACTGCAATAAATTTAAAAATAAAATTTTACTAACAGTGCACTGAAAACAGAAATCCCATTCAGTTCAAATTATTATTCCTCGATCTAAGAGTGGGTGTAGAATGATAGGTGTTTTTTTTTTTTTTAATTTGAATGACAAGTTTATTTTTTTTAATACATTATTCTTTTTTAAACAGAAGACAATTTATTTATTTAATGCAAATAACTGAGTTCTCTACTGAGACTGAATATTATAAAAAAACAAAAACGGCAAATTTAACCATTACTTAAAACAGCCAAACCAGATTCCTGGAACATTATTTTCATTTTACAAGGAAAGATTCACATAGATTCTATGTCCTAGAATTTAATTATCTAGTCCCTACTTCCAGGTGAATTACCGGAATCACAGTTACGTTGAATCGCTTAACAGCATTCTTTATTTAATTAAATATTTTCATTTGATTTTTAAGTTGTCTTAATTTTAGTTTTTTAGAGACGAAAAGATAAGATTTTAAGAGGAAAAGTCGTCGATAGTCATTGGATTATTTCCAAATTTTTATTATGTCCATATACCTTGGTTTATTTTTTCACAAATAATAATTTTGATAAGTATAATTCATGTCGTCTTATGTATGATTTTTGAAACATTATTAATATTTTTTCTTAGTTTTCATTGTTAGTTTTAGTTATAGTTTTCATTTTTAGTTGTTCGTTATGTTTACTTGAACTGATTAATGTAATTAAAATTTTGTTGTAATATATTGTACTGTTAAAAAAAAAAATGATAAGCAGCTGTAGCTTGATTAAAACTCAACTATCTATTTATAAACATTATTTCATTAACTAATCTAATGTTGCGTTATTTTCATTGATAAATATTATTCACAAGTTTTATTTAATTGAAATACATATTTGTCACCTCTGATGAGGTGACTATTGTAATTAGTAAAGCATGTCAGTATTAATTTTGTTGAAGTTTTGAAATATATAACATATTTAATATAATTAAATCAATATTAAAAAGGCCGTTTCATACAAAATAAATAAAACAGTGTCCTTTTTTTTCTCTCTTGTACTTTTATTTTAAATAATACCTATCGAATAGACCGATTCCGAGTGAATCGTGGTTCTTTCTTGTGAATTGCTTGATAGTACGATTCTTTGATTCGATTCTCGATTCATCTGCCCATCTCGTAGTCTATACCTTACAAACAGCTTATTGGATTTGGAGAATAGTGGAAAAATGGTTTAGTATTAAATATCAATGAATGAATGAACGAAGTAATGTACTTAATTCGTAAGTAATGTGGTAGTCTGTGAACTTATGAAAAGTTAAATTACATCACTACTGTAATTACATGAAATTGTATGTTTTTAATCTGCAATATTTTCTGTAATATTTATAATCAAATCCATGTAAGTGGTATGTCATATTTTGCGGTTAATTCAGGATGATGAAATTTTCTGAAATTGTGAGGTATAAACGGTGCATTATAATTTTTTTTGGTATCCAACTTCGTATACTTTTTTTCGGTGTGCATGTTTTCTTGACAAAATTGTATTTCGAAAAACTGTTTTTAATTCTGAAACTACAAATAATCGAACTTGAAATATAAGCTATGTTACCAATAGAAACACCCAGGAAGCTATACTGACCCTATTTGATAAACCATTTTTTTTTTCTGCTTTCTGACCGAATGTCTCGCAATGGGCTTCGTGGGTATGCGTCTTTAATTAATAGTCTTTAGGTTGGAGAAACGAGTACACAAATCACTATTTATCGTTAAATAATACATCGATAAAATCAAAACTTTGTTAGCTACTTTTTCACTATTTATCAGATACAATGCAATTGAATCTTATTGTCCCAGCATTCTGACAATAAATGTATTGTCTATAGAACATGGATTAAGAACCGAGACCTTCGAATGGAAAATAAGTAGGTTGGTTCAATAAATTCCAGCATCTGTGCGTACATCATCCAACATTTTGGAAAGTTGCCCAGGTCAACTCATTCGTATCTTTATCTGCAGTAGCTAATTTTACCTCTTATTTTTAATTTTATTTTGAGTCAGTATTTCTTAGGTTTATCTGTTATTAAAACCTATTTAAATTAACAACATTACTTATTCATCTCACGTAGATTAATTTAGCAACTTTAAATATTTTTGGAAATGATGGTGCTATTTGAAAAAAATAAAACGAAACATATTTAATGATAGTTTGCAAGATTCATGAACGAAACAGTAATTACAAATTCGATCTATTTGAAAAACTGCAAACAAATTTATTACATTTATTTTTTTAATAATATATATATATCTGTCACTTTGACAATGGTGATAGGGATGTAAAACCACATTCACACTATATGTACCGAAAAAAATAAATAAATGAACAGAAGCAAAATAGCAACTAAATAATAATTAGAAAGTACATACAATAAATAAAATAAAATAACTTAAGTTGGTATAAAATAACTTAGATAAGTAAATTTTAAAAAAACAAAAAATACATACATATCTACATACACAATGTACAATCAGGCAAGGGAACTGCGAGGCAGGCTTGTCCCCCACCTATGGCCATTGACA